TCCACCATCTGATGCTAATTTATGTTCAACACGTTTAAATTTAATATACAATTTAATTTCATGAGGAATTTGAATTTTTTCACCGGACATGGTTTCACATTCTTCTGAACGAAATCGACGAACAAGATATACCAAGTCTCTACATTCACATTCTAAATCTTTTCTCATTCGAAGATTTAATTTCAAATTTAATAAATGTGTTAACGCATCATTTCTATTGTAAACATTCCCCCGTACACCATTTTGTTTCAAAAAATTAAACTGATTTTGTGAAATTGAAATTTTTCTTTTATTATTTCTTGGTTTTTTTCTTCCAAAACGTAATCCACGACAAATACGCTTCTGTATAACGTTACCAAGCTGTTTTATAATAGTTGATTGATGACGAATATTTGGCATATTTGTTTGTACTAGTGTATTATGATGATTTAATAAAATCCAACCATTATTCAAACTTGAATAATCGATACGAGTTTTGTTTCTTAATTTCATTTTAGTTATAGATTATACGAAAGAGAAGAGAATAGATTAAAACACTTGATTTAAATATCAAATAATCAGGAAAAAGACAGTCAGTTTACGATTTGAATGATATCTACTTCTCATTTTCAATTCTATATATATATATCTGTTTTTCGTGAGTTTGTATACTCTGACTACAAATTAATATGTCCACAGTTGTTTAAAAACTAAATTGGTGTTACTTAATTAAGAACAATAGTATATTATCCACTACAAGCTACGTGTTTAAAATACAAATCTCATGGCTGTTTATATTCTAGTTGATAGTGTGTCTATACAAATAATTACGATAGTAATTAAAGAATATCGGTGGGAATTTTTAAACCAGATTATATATACAAGATGTTTTCAGCAAAGTTATATTCTGTTTAAGAATAAATACGTAAAAGCTTTGTCAGTACTAAAATATATCATTATCCACATGCATCATTTTTGTTTCACTTTCGCTTACGTCTCTCTGTTATTAGAAAAACCATAATTCAAAGCTTTTATATTACTACTGCTACAAGATATGGATCCTCAAAATCCGAACATGGTAAAATTTGTTGTTCTTAAGGGGGGGTTCGCACCCCAAACATGCCCTCAAACTTGGTCAGTTTGTAGATAACATCTTCGGTGGTATGCCTATGCAATAAAAAACTCATTAGCCAAGTATTGACACAGTTATTAATTAATTAAGTTCAAACGTAATTGAAATTTTTAGTTTGAGAGGCATCTTTTAAAACCTTTCTAGTTTTCGATATAAATGTTACATTCAATTGATTGAAATGTAGTTTTATAGAGAATTGTTTGTAGATATAATTCCATACAAAAAGAGTTTAAAAACGAAATCTCTGACCGTTTTCTAATTACTAATTAGTTCTGGTTAGTACTAATTAGTGGCACTCCAGTGAACAAAGTAAACTTTCCTAATGTCAGAACAAATGGAAGCAAATCATGCGATATATCATTCGATAGAACTTTTCGAGCACTATCGATTGTCCGAGCCACTTTTT